AAAAACCCAAAGCAACCATTGATTATTTATGTAGGAGAAAGAAGAGGAGCATATTTGATGGTTGTTGTTAGTGCCATTTGTTTGAATGTATGTATATATGAAGTTTTTCTTTCTATACGATCAACCAAAATTATGACTTGTAATATAATTTCTGGCTTGTTTTAGTCCAGTAAAGCTGCTCCATGTAAACTCACATCGCTGAAGCTAAGTTCCCCAGGAATTAAATTCCCATCAGTTAAATTAAATTAAATTAAGCTTACAGATCTTTGCAGGAATTAAAACCTAGGCCTGCTTTGCGGAGAAGCTGCAGGCTTACTGCCCTTATTACTGCTCCAGATAGGTTAATCAGGAGGTAAAACAAACACAATGCTTTTAATGTAATGCAATTCAGAAGAAGATTCCTATGGTGTCCTTGACCATTCTGATCTCCCCCATTGTTTCCTTCTATATTATAGAATGATTTAATTTCTTTAAAACTGTAGCGATGTCAGTGACCAACCCATATGTTACTCCAATAAAGGAAGGGATTTGCTCTGTCTGGCTCTCTCTTGCTGTCTCTTTGCCCCCAAAAATCTATCTCAAAAACTAAAAGCAGTTTGCTTTTGTTTTTAACAGCACATTACTTGTGTAGTTTAGCACACCAGGTGAGCACGCATTCTGTGCATTTCAGATTTTGAGTTTGCAGATGGAATATGCTAAAGAGTTCCTATTCAGGCATTTGACTGTTCTTTTGTTGTCTGACCAATGTGTTTATTTGGGGATGGGAATGGGTGGGCTGAAACATATTTCGATAGTATCATTCTGAAGAACAGATGCATAATCAGAACATAGTTGACATGTGTAAATTAAAGAAAAACTGGATAGGGATTTGGTTTTTTTCCCCTTTCTTCATGATTGCATAATAGAACTGCTTTTTTTTTTTTACAGAAGGGACAAGTCCATGATCAGGTACTTGTTTTAAAAGTAGCTGATGAGCTTCACATGGGCACTTGGTTCATTCTGAATTATGTAGGCCTCTAATCTGACACAGCATTGCTCTTCATAAATTCTTCTGTTCTTTGTTGTCAGATGAACTGAACAAGAAATCTCAGCAGCTGGAGGAGCTGGTTATCAAGGTATCAGGTTGGTTTACCTAGTTCTGAAGTCTCATCTATATTGACTTTTTCTTATATTCCATTTCTGCGTATCATCTCTCGTCAATCCCCAATCTCCCTGAGAGGAAATGGCCTTCTGCCCATAAAACATGGAAGGGAAGAATTCAACTGCTGCAATCTAGAAGCATAACTTTGGCTGCCCCAATGTCCTCTTTTCCATCTGTCCCATTGAAAAGGATTATATACTAATGATCTCAGACATTTCCTCCCCAAAACCAACTTTAAACAGGGACAACTTTACTACTAGAGGGGCCACCACCTCTTCAGCCAGTGGTTCCACATAGCACAAGAGCACTTGGAGCCCCCTTCTACACATGGGTTCCTGAGCTTCTGTAAAGCCTTTGTGAAACTGTGCAGCCTTAGCTGTGCCATGTTTCCAAAGGTATCCTGACAACAGTGTTGTGTTACAAAGAGAGTACACTTTTTAAAAGGCTCAGAAGGACTAGGGTAGGAAAAGTTTGTCTAAGAAGGTAGTTCTAAAAATGATAAGGAACAGGAGCCAGGCAATTCTGCATTGAGCACAATGGCTGGGTGCAAAAGGCAAATGGTTTCAGTGCAGTGAACTGAGAGAGAAGGCGGCTGGACAAATGCAGGCTGTGGCAGGCTGTGGTGGCTGAAGCTTCCTGGGGTGTGACAAGCATCCCCAGAGTTGTGTGGTTCTGGGTCTGTTTGCTGCTCCACAAAGCAGGGGGCGGGGAGGCTGAAAGGACATGGATAAGGGAGAGATAAATGGGTGAGGGGAGTTGGAAACAGTCCTTCACCTTAATGAGGCTCAAGGCTGGAAACAATTAGGGTGGGTACTCGCTTAATAATCCATGATTCTTGGTTAATGGCCACAATGAAAATGCTGGGATTGCCATCATTAGTTGGTACAGTCTTGTAACATCATGATTAACAACTGCATTGACTTATGACAGCAATCCCAGTCTCAATTGTGGTCGGATGTTGAAAACTATCTATATGTTAGAATACATCTTGATTGTGATTTCCATCCTATAATGTTTTATGAAATAATGTAGATCCTTCCTTCCTTCCTTCCTTCCTTCCTTCCTTCCTTCCTTCCTTCCTTCCTTCCTTCCTCCCTTCCTTCCTTCTAGGAGGAAGGGGGCCTAGATAGTCCATGGTTAGTTTCAAAAAGGAAGTATGGATGTTTGTTCTATATCTTTTTTTCAGTAAGCATTTCCATTTATTTATTTCTTCTTATCAATGTTATATCCTGGTATACAAGTGTGCACTCTCCATTCAGGGTAGTTCACAATAGTGAAAAGAATGTGTAATTCAATCAATTTCAAAGAAAGCATGAGAACAGGTCAACAAGAAAAAAGAACAAGAAATCATGACCTCACCTACTTTCAGTAGGCTTGGAAGCTAAGCAGAGTAAGAGCTTGTTAATTTTGGAAGGAAGATCACGAAGAATAGTGGGGCTGTAAACTAGATGTTGAAAAGTTGAAAACTATCCCAGGGGAGATCCCAAACTATTTCTATATTATAGTTGTGTAAATGTAGTTACCAGAAGTCAATATAAACTCAAGGGTGTCTTTACACTGCCTATTAGTAAATTCATACTGTATGTGGAACAAATGCCATCCTAAAAATGGACCTTAACATGTTGCTACAAGAGTGTCCATCTTTTTAAATATAAGGCACTCCAGGTGCAGCACAAGATCTCTTTGGGTTTGAGCTTCTTCGGCGACAGACCAAAACTTCATCTCTGTGAGGTTTCGATCCATGCTCGCCGCTGGAGCGCCCTGAGCCGGCTGGTTTTGGGGCTAAGCCACCCCGTAGAGATGGTGAAGAAGGGGGAGACTGCCTGCAGGGTTGAGGAGAGCTGCATCTCTCCTCCCCAGCTGGCCATTACTCCCTTTCCCAAAGGCAGTTGTAGCGATGGTCAGAAATGGCCACCACAAAGAAGAACTCGACCGGAAAAGAATGTGCAGGAGGAAGATAAGAAGAGAAAGTTTTGGTTGACCGTGTCAAACAGCGAAAGCAACAAATAAGGTACCCTGGAATTGAAACTATTTAAAAAAAACAATAACATTGTTCCCTAAGAAGATTTTTAAGCTGTGAAGGAGAGAGAAAAGGGAAAAGATTTGGTTTTTTTTTCTCCTTTTCCTATACTGACAGCTAAGAGAATTAAGCAAGAAATTGGAAAAAAATTCCACTTTTGCATTAATAGGCATTTAATGCTGAAAATAAAAATCAAAGGGATAATAAAGATTTCTGGATAATCAAAAGCTTTTGAAAACAGGAAAGGAGAGAAAAAGAATAAAAGGGCAGGATCTGGAAGGGAGGAGACTGCCTGGAATTAAAAAGAACTTACAGCAAAATCTCAACAAGACTTCCAAAGGATACATTTTAACTGAAACATCGCAACAAAAACCCCAGGAAGAGAAAGTGGAAAAAGAAATAAGAAGAAACAGCTTGGGACTATTTGGATTACTTGATGATCTCTGGATTTTTGGTTATTGTATTTGAATGACTAAAATCAATCGGGTGGTTGTTTAAAACTATTTAAAATGGCTCCACTTTTAGAAGAACTGAAAATGGAACTTAAAAAGTACAAAGAAGATGCACAAGAAGGGAGAGGTTCTTTTGGCTTCGTATTTCAGTTCTTAGAAATGGAGATTTGGAACTATGAAAAACAACAAGAAATGCCTGCAGAACAAGAAGATCGGGACAAAGAAGAAGCCATCTTTAATGAACAAGTAATCTTAGGTGGGGGGAAAAAGAAAAGGGGGGAAAGAGAATGGAAAGTTTAAGATTGGGAAAAACAACCCCCCCCCAAAAAAAAAATAGAGTGAAAAATAAGTATAAAATCAGAAAGCAACAGAAGAGGGAAATGCAGAAGAGAGAATTAGAAGTAGAGAGACAAGGGGGTAAAAAGGGGAGGGAGAAGATGAGAGGGAAAAAAGAAAGGAAAAGAAGTTATAAAGGACAGAAACAAAATATAGAGAAATAGGGCCTATTTAGAGATAATGGGTGAAAATTTAATGGAAAAGGGGATTCTGCAAAGGTACATAAGATAGTATTGTTATATTAGAAATAGAAATAATTTTAGAAAATATGCAACAATGTATGATTAAAATGTTGTGATAAAATAGCTATTGTAATTCAGTGGAATGCTTGTCAATAAATAAATGTAACAAAATGAATATTTAATGATTTACAAACATATGTGAAGAGAAATAAGGGAAAAATTAATTATGGAGATTATACGTGTCTTTAAGGAAGTATGATATTTAATTGAAAAGAAATGTTAACGATGTTAAGATTTTAATGATTATTAATGATAGAACTGAATTGGAATGGAACGAGGGTTTATAATTACATATATTTATAATCCTTTTTTAAAAAAGAATATAGTGTGTATTATAAGAATGTACCAAGCAGAATTCAATTGGAAGTTATGTATTATGTATTATATTGAAGGTCATAACCTTAAGATATATATTGAAGTTTAAATAAGAGTTGAATGGATGTAATTAAAAGATATAAAGGTGTCATACTCCAATTAGTAACTACAGGAGAAAACTTGTTTAATGAGAAAAGATAATATGAAATTGAAACAGAACAGACAAAAGTATAAATATATAATGATTTGAATTGAGATGAGATAATCAAAATAAAATTGAGAAAATTAAAAGAGGGGAAAAACTATATAGAAAATGTAGAATAGTATAAGATATGGAATATAACACAAAAAGGAGCATGAAATTGAGTTTTGTGTCTGTATAAATAAGTTCAACCCGGGACCATGCTATTTTCAAGAAAGATGTTTTACTTGCATTTTGTATGTGTGAAAACCCAAATAAAACTTTATTTTAAAAAAAAGATAAAATCTCTTACCTGCTTTGTTGCGTAGTGATGTGGTAGGCCACCTACAAATATTGGTCCTGTTGGTTTCCAAATGAGAGATGACCAGGGATTGCCAATTCTGGACCTTTTCACAGTAATTCCCAGGACAGTCATGACAGCCTCACACGTTTCCAAATCTTGCCTACATACATTTGGGAGGACGACAAGGAAAGCAAAGTTTTACAACTGAGCTCAACAACCTGAAAGAGTTCCTTGACAAACTCATTACAATGTGTCCATAAAAGGATGGATATTCTTTAATATACCAGTTCTAAATTAATTGCAATTTAATGGTGACTGAGGAAATGACTGTAAAACACACACACACACACACACACACACACTCCTTTTTCTCTTGTTTTGAACAGCTTTTCTAAAATATGAAGTTGATCTCCCATTAACGTTGCAATTTTATATTACAAAAGGTTAAAAAGTAATTTACAGTTTAAAGTACTTTGTTACAATGGAAAACTTGCCATCTGAATTGTTATTACTATTTTTAAGGCTGCAAATTGATTAAGCGTCCTTTTGCTCAAAGTACTTCATGTAAAAATCATCCAGAAATAATGCCATGCCCCAAAATAAAATAATTAAAGCAATGGACTTCTGCTAATTTGTTAGACTCATTATAATTAAGATTTAAAGCTTACACATCCTTCTTCACCGTTCAACCTGATTCTAAATATTTCCATTTAGTTCCACTCTTATTTAATAAATATTTTGGACTGTGTTTTGTCAACAACCAATAGAGATGATCACTGAACAGTTGGTAACCTTTTAAAAGTACTTTGAAAGGTTAGTTATTCAGATCGCAGATAATGCATTAGTTCTTAAGCCAAAAGGAGATAAAAGATGAAGACAAGCTGCATCGATGATTGTGTATCCTATCACATAATGATGTCACCATTCCTCTGTTAATAAAGCAGCCCTCACCGTACAACACAAACAGGAGATGCCAAGCCATATCAAACTTCTAGTCATCTTTGAAAAATTGGAGGAGGAAGCAACGTCTCTGACTCGTGTTCCTCTTGTTCTAACTTGTCTTTGAAACCACCTACTTTTTCCACTGAAGAAACAGCTTGCTATGCCTCCACTTCTGATTTCCATTTCAATTGACCCAACTCGAAGAAAAATTTCTGAAAGACAGCTTTGTTAAGAAGACCCTCCTTTTGGTTTGTTGCCACTGATCAATCAAAGCCATCTGCAAAGCTGAGCTGGACCCATGGATAAGAGGAGGCTTTTGTGGCTTCTCAGAAGACAAAGGTTTGATTTGCCATTTGCAAAATGATTTCTTCTAGGGGATGGAAACACCATACAGAATAGATGATGGAATTGCACAAGAAGAGGATAAACCGAGAGGAGGAGGAATATGGGTTAGTTTGGGAATGATTTGCAAATCAGATAGATGGCGATGCTGATGCCAGAAAGAAAGGGAGAGAAGTCAGAAAGAAAAGGGTGTACATTTTGTCAAAGATAAATAATTGATGGTGCCACTGACTTTTACTTCGACCTATCCACTGCTTATTTTAGCCCTGTGCACAAATTAGTATGTAATTCTAAACAGATTATTTCCAAAGAACATCCTTGTCAAAACAAAGCAGAGGAATGGAAGGTTTTATGCAAGGAATTGGAAGTGAGGAAAAAGACAGCTGGGAATTAACTGAAACCACTTAGAATGTATTTGCATAATACCTTACACTTATGTAAGGTATTGACTTGTATAAGGTATTTTAAAAGAGCATATCTGACTGTCTATCTTATATAGCTGCTCATCTATCCAGTGAAATGCTGGGAGGTAAACAAAATAAAAATACACTGCTCAAAAAAATAAAGGGAACACAAAAATAAGACATCCTAGATCTGAACGAATGAAATATTCTCATTAAATACTTTGTTCATTACATAGCTGAATGTGTTGACTAAAAAATCACACAAAAATTATCAATGGAAATCAAATTTAGCAACCCATGGAGGTCTAGATTTGGAGTTACACTCAAAATTAAAGTGGAAAAAAACACTACAGGCTGATCCAACTTTGATGTAATGTCCTTAAAAAAGTCAAAATGAGGCTCAGTAGTGTGTCTCCACGTGCCTGTATGACCTCCCTACAATGCCTGGGCATGCTCCTGATGAGGTGGCGGATGGTCTCCTGAGGAATCTCCTCCCACACCTGGACTAAAGCATCCCCCAACTCCTGGACAGTCTGTGGTGCAACGTGGCATTGGTGGATGGAGCAAGACATGATGTCCCAGATGTGCTCAATTGGATTCAGGTCTGGGGAACGGGTGGGCCAGTCCATAGCATCAATGCCTTCGTCTTGCAGGAACTGCTGATACACTCCAGCCACATGAGGTCTAGCATTGTCTTAAATTAGGAGGAACCCAGGGCCAACCGCACCAGCATATGGTCTCACAAGGGGTCTGAGGATCTCATCTCGGTACCTAATGGCAGTCAGGCTACCTCTGGCGAGCACATGGAAGGCTGTGCGGCCCCCTAAAGAAATGCCATCCCACACCATTACTGACTCACTGCCAAACCGGTCATGCTGGAGGATGTTGCAGGCAGCAGAACATTCTCCACGGTGTCTCCAGACCCTGTCACATCTGTCACATGTGCTCAGTGTGAAGCTGCTTTCATCTGTGAAGAGCACAGGGCGCCAGGGGCGAATTTGCCAATCTTGGTGTTCTCTGGCAAATGCCAAATCTCCTGCACGGTGTTGGGCTGTAAGCACAACCCCCACCTGTGGACGTCGGGCCCTCATACCACCCTCATGGAGTCTGTTTCTGACCGTTTGAGCAGCCACAGGCACATTTGTGGCCTGCTGGAGGTCATTTTGCAGGGCTCTGGCAGTGCTCCTCCTGTCCCTCCTTGCACAAAGGTGGAGGTAGCGGTCCTGATGCTGGGTTGTTGCCCTCCTATGGCCTCCTGCACATCTCCTGATGTACTGGCCTGTCTCCTGGTAGCGCCTCCATGCTCTGGACACTACGCTGACAGACACAGCAAACCTTCTTGCCACAGCTCGCATTGATGTGGCATCCTGGATGAGCTGCACTACCTGAGCCACTTCTGTGGGTTGTAGACTCTGTCTCATGCTACCACTAGAGTGAAAGCACCACCAGCATTCAAACGTGACCAAACCATCAGCCAGAAAGCATAGGAACTGAGAAGTGGTCTGTGGTGACCACCTGAAGAACCACTCCTTTACTGGGGATGTCTTGCTAACTGCCTATGCTTTCCACCTGTTGTCTATTCCATTTGCACAACAGCAGGTTAAATTGATTGTCAATCAGTGTTGCTACCTAAGTGGTCAGTTTGATTTCACAGAAGTGTGATTGACTTGGAGTTACATTGTGTTGTTTAAGTGTTCCCTTTATTTTTTTGAGCAGTGTATAACAATCCATTTGTTAATTGAAGTAGGGGATTATAGACATCTATCCATATATGTAGATATAAATAAATACGTTAGGGATTTAAGATCTTCTCCAGATACTGAGATCTTATGTGACTGAATATGCACTGATAACATCTGACCAAGAGATCAAAGACCTTTTGAAAGAAAGAAGTGAAGCAGGCTATTCCATCAGTTCTGCTGAGAGACCAGCTTCTTTATACACTACAGCAGGGGCCTTCAATCTTGCAATTTTACGATTTTTTGGACTTCAACTCCTAGAATTCCCCAGCCAGCTTTGTTGGCTGAGGAATTCTGGGAATTGAATTCCTCAAGTCTTAAAGTTGCCAAGGTTGGAGACCCCTGCATTACAGCATTCCTTCTTCCATTAACCATCAGACTGCAAAAAAAAAAAAGGGAGAGATGGAACCAGGAATATCTAGTTCCTTCCCTTCTGGAAGCAATTTGAACCCATGTTTAAAAGTGTGCATTTTGTTATTTAAGAAATAGTGCTTGGGTTAAGTTTTCCTCCTTTTTCCCAACCTCGCATCTATGCTGATCTCTAAAAAAAATGTTTTGGGCTGAAGAACAGAATAAACAAGGATTGAGAGAAAGAGAGAAGGAGCATCAGCATCAGAGACAGAATTGGGGATCTAGAAGAAGAATAGAATGAGGGAAGGAGAAGGAGGTGTAAAACCACCTGCTCTGTGCATGCACAAAAAAAAAAAAAAAGATGTGAGATGGTGAAGGCAAAAAAGCTGGAGGACATCGATCAAGGACATATATCAAGGAAATGGCGGGAGCACAGGAAAGAACTCTGCTGATAGAAATGAAGCAGAGCTGCCTATTGCAGGCCATGTATACTGGGATTTACAGCCATATATTGGCTTCAGGCCACTGCTACTTGATAAAAGATACAGCAATTTGTCTGAGATGTTTCAGCATAACAGCTGTTATGTATGCATTTGCCTACAAGCAAGTAATATTCTGGAATTGTTTCCTTGGGCTTTCTGTTGGTAGGACAAGATGTTAACAATTCAGGATTCCAGTGAGCAGTTTTTCACCATGTGCTTGTGTAGTTTTGTACCCTCTGAAAAGGTTGGATTGAACATTTCCAAGAGAGGATAAATTAAAATAACAATCTTCAAAAAATTATTCTTTAATGTTTGCAGAAGATACTACTATCCAGTAGTTCATGTCTAGTATAAGTATCCCATCAACCTTCTTCTACACCAGGGTTGTTAAACTTGATTTCATTGAGGGCTGCATCAGGGTTGTGTTTGGCCTCAGGGGGCCGGAGTGGTTGTCACCAGGATGGGCATGGCCAGTTCGACGTCACTTGTGTTGGGGGCACCTATGGTGGCCCAAATGCTCTGCCAGAGAAATGGGCTCCTGAGCTCCATTTTTAGCTGCAACAGCCTCCTGTAACCCTCTGCCAGTGAAAATGGAGCTCAGGAGGACCCATGTGCAGCCCTCCCAAGCTCCAGTTTTGCTGGCAGAGGCACCACGGGCCAGTCCTTCACTATTTCCAGGGTGGCCCCATGAGCCAGTTCTAAGCACCCCGCAGATCAAATCCAGCCCTTGGGCCTTGAGTTTGACACCTCTGTTCTACACCCAATGCATAGGGCATTTAATTTTTGTGGGAACAGTGATGGCATCCTCCTTCTCCTCGTTCAGTACCGAAATGTACGCACAATTATTCAACTGCTCCTGTGGGTTAAGCTGC